GTCCACTTATTGTCCAAATCTCAATAATAATATATTCCAACTCTTCCAACTCTTCCTTTAGCTTTTCCTTACTTCACCTCCTCCATAAGTTACCCTGTGTTGTCCTCCACAGTTACAACACGTATCCTTAAATAATTATCTGACCTCAGGGTTCCCACAGCTCAAAGCAAATTTCATTTAAGACTTTTTATGATCTCTTTAATCACACTTGAAATGAAATTTAAGACCAGCTTCACAATAAACACAAAAGAAAAGAAAAAAACAGACAATTTTATCCATATGTTTATTTTAACATAAAACAACTAGCTTTGAGAGGCATTCTGTACATTTAAAGATAAAAAATAATTTTACCAATTATTTTAATATTTGAGACAATTTACAATCATCCTGTTTACAATGTGTTCACATTAAGACTTCTGAAAGATTGATTTCAGACATTTTAAGGCTAATTAAGGCCTTATGATTGGACCGACAAATTCAAGGCCTTTTAAGACTTTTTAAGGATCTGCAGGAACTCTGTCAGAAGTTAAAGTTTGAACGAAGGTTAATACTCCTCAGACGAGCCGCCACACGTGAGCAGAAGCTGCACAGAAACTGACGCTGCCCCCTGGTGTTTCGGAGGATCTTCCTCCTCCTGCAGGTCCCTGCAGGAGGAGGAAGATCCAGGTCTGAAGGGTGGAGGGGGTTCAGGTGGTCATGGCACAAGAGGCATGCAAGGAGGGATCTGAGACATGCAAACACATATGAATACAAACTTTACAAACAGTTTACACAGCGACACCTGGAATAAAAGGAAAACATGTCGTAAKAAAAGCTGCAGGGAGCTGGATTATTGTAAATTACCACAAATYACCTGGAAAGAGTTTAAAAGATCTTTGAGACAAACTGATCAGTGTTTTATTTTATTCAACAACCTTTGACTCCCTCTGGCTCCGACATGTTTTTCTKACTCCATCAGTTTGTTTTTTCTGAATGTTTTCAGTCTAAAACTCGACGGTCTGAAGACGTTCACATCAGGAGGTCACACAGGTCCCTCACTCTGACGCAAACTGGATCCAAGAGATGGAAAGTCTTCTCTGCTCTCAGGAGAGTTTCTTCTGATGAATCAACTGGCTTTATCTGAAAAGCTGCTCTGGGAGTCTGTGCTTTTATTTTGAAAGGTTAAAATTGAAGTTTGTGGAGATTAGTTTAGGTTTAAAGACATTTTTAATTTAAGAGACAGATATGTTGGACCTTCAGGACCGTGTGGAACAGAGGGACAGTTTTTAGACATGTTGGACCTTCAGGACCGTGTGGAACAGAGGGACAGTTTTTAGACATGKTGGACCTTCAGGACCGTGTGGAACAGAGGGACAGTTTTTAGACATGTTGGACCTTCAGGACCGTGTGGAACAGAGGGACAGTTTTTAGACATGTTGGACCTTCAGGACCGTGTGGAACAGAGGGACAGTTTTTAGACATGKTGGACCTTCAGGACCGTGTGGAACAGAGGGACAGTTTTTAGACATGKTGGACCTTCAGGACCGTGTGGAACAGAGGGACAGTTTTTAGACATGGTGGACCTTCAGGGTACCTGGACTCTCCGGTGTCTCCGGCCACAGTGTGTCTCCTGCGCTTCAACTCATCAGAGAAGCGTCTCTTGTCCCCCACCTTCCTCTTCTCCTCCTCCTCTTCCTCGCCGTTGGTTCCCCAGGAGATCCTCCTGTCCTTCTTTTCCTCCTCTAACGACCTGGTCCTGGGTTTGTTTTGTTTGTTGTTGTTTGTTTTGTTTGTTGTTGTTTGTTGTTTTTTGTTGTTTGTGTTTCCGTGTGAGACACAGAGGCATGCAGCGTGCAGAAACAGACACACACATGGATTATCATGCAGTGAGGACATCAGACAGCAGGACACGATGGACGAGCCCAGCGAGGACTGACCTGAGCCGTCCCCCGGGCCGCTCCGACTGGATGGACATGTAGCTGGTGCTGCTGAGGCGGGAGGCGCTGCTGGCGCAGGACAGAGCCGACACGTCGCTCATGTCGCTGTCCGAAGAGCGGGCCGACATGTTGTCGCTGCTGCGCCTCTGCTCCGCAAACATCTGTGGACCAAGAGACGGAGGATCAGAGAGACAGAGGGACGGACCAAACACCTGGAGGGACGACTTCACCAAAAACAAGAGGAYGAAGAGGTGCTGACCTCCCGCTTGGTCCTGAGGTCGGTCTGAGGATCGTGAGAYGCTGAAGGCCGGTAGGGATGGACTTTCACAGGCAGCTGCCGGGCTCGCTCGTCTGCTGCCAAGGCTGACAAGAAAACCATAAAAAGACGCAGAGAAGAAGGAAAACAAACAAAATGTGACGTAAAACAAAGAAACAAGCAGCTGATGTGTGTCTGGATGAGCTGCAGGATCCTGTTTCCACCACCAGGTGGAGCAAAAAGACGAGTGAAGACAGGGTAGATGCAGGTGAAACCCACCTTGTTCGATGCTGCTGCTCTTCGCAGGAAGCTGCGGGAGCTGTCGGCCCCGACGACCCGACGAGGGGGGAGAGCGGCTGCCGTGTGTGTGCGCTCTGAGAAAACACACACACAGGAAGAGGAATGAGACACTGGAGCTGCCGGTGACCGAAGCACAGCAGCAACAAAGGTTCAGGAGCAGGAGGAGGCGCAGAAACACTCAGGGGGACACCAGGGGGAGGGGGGGGGGGCACGTGGAACAGCATGCACCTGTCCAGTCGAGGTGAGCTGGGGCAGGACCCCGACAGAAGCRTCTGGCCAAAGGGCCTCAGGGGACCCCCTCTCCTTCTACTGCCCCTCAGGATAGAGGTGGGCTGGATTCGACTGCCGTCAGCAAATTAAAAAGTACAAAAAACTGTCAACGTGTTTAAAAACACAACAAATACTAACTGTGTGTGTTCAGGTTCATGTGTGGTCCAAAGAGCAGTGACAGCTTCTGATGGTTAAACCAACACAGACAAACTTGTAATAACAAAACACCGTCTATGATACCAGTAATCAGAGACAGGGACTCGAGACTCGGACTTGACTTGGACCCTAAAGACTTGACTTGACTTGTGGTTTGAGACTCGTGAACAATGTAAGTCTTTTCACTGTCCGGCTCACGATTCTCACTCCTCAGTACAGATCCATGCTCCGCTCCTTTGAGAACAAATCCATAAAGTTTTAAGAGCAAAGACATTTACTCCTGCTCTCAAACTGAAAATATACGCTCTGGATTAAAGTCAGAATAATTCTTCCATACACCTCGCTCCCCCTCACCTGAGAATGGGAGGGGCCAGTGCTGTTCAATCTTAATGATGTGTACCCTACGTGACAAACAGAGCTTCAGCATGGCAGGTGTGTTGCAGCTCCATTCATTATAAGCTTTGTTTACAGAGACTTGATTCAACACCATGTCAAGAAACTGGCAAAATGAAGTGTGGAGTCCAMATAGAAAATGTGTTTTTCTGATGACTTGTGCAGRCCTTTTACTTCAAGGATTCTAGTTCATCATCTTCACTGACATGCTTTATGCATTTAAAGATATTTTTCTGGTATTTTATTGAAAAATCAGCAGCAGACTTGTTGGATTTGTTCTTTGTCAATGAAAAGATATATATTAGGGGTGCAACAATACATGTACCTGTATTGAACCATATTTAACAGTGCTTTAGGTTCAACACACACTTGTATGGAACAATAAAGATTTCTAACATTTATTTTATCAACTTGTCTTCTGAAGATGCTCTGTGTTGAAGGATCAGTGGATCTGTGTTCGACTACTCCACCTAGGCTGCACTGTGGAGCGCAGATCCACTGAGAAACTTACTGTTTCAGCAACATTTAATTTAAAAACTGGACTTTTGAGGTTAAACAAATGTTCATAATTAGTTTAAGTTAAAAAGGGCATGGACATTTCTCTTTTTTGTATCGAAAAAATATCAAACCGTGAGACTAAAATACTGAACCGAATCGTGAATTTTCTGTATCGTTGCACTCCTAATATACAGTATGCTTTTTTTCAATCTTAACTTTATCTGTATTTTTAAAACAGTAAACATAAACTTAATACTATATTTTAATATTTGATTAAAGTATAGTATTATAGAATATAATCTAGTATGGTTAGAATACCTTTGATCAAACTGCCAGTTAAGTGAAACATGTAACGAGACTTGGACTTGACTTGGATTTGCAAAAAAAGACTTGTGCACATCACTGCCAATAATCAATACTCAGCCAAAAGTACTAATACTACAGTACTATACATGATATACATAAACTGTGAGTGACCCAGGAGGAAACTAGATCAAGAGTTGGTGTTTTTGAAACAAGTTAGAGAATCTATGTTCCAGATGTCTATGTTCCAGATGTCTATGGACAGAACCTCTACCTGTTTCTACACATGAAGAACAGAGATAACGAGTCAACAGAAGTAAATAAATCAAAATGTTGGGATGAATGAGTGAACGTTACCTGACCCCCTCCAGGCTCTTCCTGCCTCTCGAACAGCTCAGGCTGTTTTTCATCAAACACCAACCGGAAGATAAAAAAAACACTTATAAAACGAGAACCGGATGAAAAACTCCAGCTCAAACTGACATTTGACTTGGTTTCCTGTTTCAGGAAAGCAGCTCAGTCCCTTCATTTCTCCAGTTAAAAACAGCAAAGCAAATAAAGTATTTTGAAGCCAAAGAAGTGGGAAAAGCTTCAGCTCAGGAGCTGAGCAGAGAAGCAGGTCCAGCAGAATGAAAAGCCACAAAGATTCACAAGAGAAGAGAGGAAACCATCATGAGCTCTGAGCTGCAGGACAAGCTTCCACATGAGGAGTGAGGAGGAGGCAGAGCAGCAGCCAAGACTCTGAGGAGGGGGAGGAAGGCCGGCCTGGGGTACCTGTCTTCCTCAGGTGACACGTGTTCTACTAAGATCCGAGGGCTGGGGGGGGCCAAAGAGTTGGAGCACCTGGAGGGGGGCGGGAGGAGGAGTATTCCAGCAGGAGACGTGATTATTAATTTACTCCATGCTTCAGAATCAGAGGGTTCATTAATTCCTGTAAATAACTTTATCACATTTTACAGTTTTAAYTGTTTCTGAGTTTTGGATGAAGTTTTTATGCCTGAACTTCAAACCAACACAGTAAAAATAAAAGTTTTAGTGACACAAACGTGAAATAATGGTGAGATTTTTACATACTGGTGGCTAATACAAACTCCAAACAGAGGTAGAACTGCTGTAAATACGGCAGTGTTAGTTTGTGACAAAATGGGAGTAAAAATATGGACATGATGTTTGTGAAGGAAATAATGGGTTACGTTATTGAACCGTTTACATATGTAATTTATAATTTCCAACTGGAATATTTCCAGACAACATGAAGATAGCCAAACTAATTCCTCACTATAAGAGTGGTGAGAAATATATGTTTACAAACTATTGACCAATATCCTTGTTACCACAGTTTTTAAAAATTTTGTAAAAATTTTGACCAGATTAGATCAGTTCATTGATAAACAAAATATTTTAAGAAAAAAATCAATATGGTTTTAGAGCTAATAATTTAACATCAATGGCTCTCATGGATTTAATTAAACAAATAAAAACAGCTGTTGATCAAAAACACTGTTAGCGTTTATGTTGACTTAAAAAAGCATTTGATACAACTGATCACAGTATTCTTCTTGAGAAATTGAAAACATATTGTATAAGAGGTCCAGTATTACAGCAGGTATCTAGCTATTTGACAAACAGGAAACAGTTTGTTCACATAAATGATGTAAAATCTGATCTTTGTAATATTGTATGTGGAGTTCCACAGGGTTCTGTACTTGGACCAAAGTTATTTATTTTATACATGAATGATTTGGTAAATGTGTCAGAGTTATTGAAACATGTTTTATTTGCAGACGACACTACATTTTTCTGCTTGGGTAAAAATATTGAATATATGTTGGAAACGATGGAAACAGAATTTGTAAAAGTACAAACTTGGTTCAAGTCTAATAAATTACAATTAAATTTGGACAAAACTAATTACAAGATATTCAGCAATAGAAAGAAAACTGTTCATGTTTCATTTAGAGTTAAGGGTGTTGAGATCTGTAGAGTTGGTGAGATGAAGTTTTTGGGAGTCATCACTGATGAATACCTGACCTGGAAATCTCACATAAATTATTTAAGAACAAAAATAGCTAAATCTATTGCAGTAGTATACAAAGCAAAGAATTTATTTAATGATAAAGCTCTGTTTATATTATATAATACAATATTTCATATTTGATTTATTGTATTGAAGTCTGGGGAAAGCATGTAAAACAATTACTAATCCTATTTTTGTTTTACAGAAAAGAGCTGTAAGAATTATCACCAGAAAACACTACAGTCATCCATCAAAGACATTATTTTATCAGTTGAAATGATTGAAATTCTCTGAGTTGGTTGATTATAATATTTTACAGGTTATGTATAAAGCTCATAAAAATGTATTACCTTTGAACATCCAGTCAAATTTTTGTGAAGAGGGAAAGTTGCTATAATCTGAAGGGACTAGAAATGTTTATAAAACCTAAAATTCAGACAAATTTAAAGGACAGATGTGCTTCAGTCCAAGGAATAAGCTTTTGGAATAATCTGATTGTAAAAATCGTGGTTCGATTAATTTGATGATTGAGTTAAATTGTTAAAGAAATATGAAATTGTATAATTTTTATTTGTATGAATTACTGTTTGAGGAGTTGAAGTTTTTATTTAGTTTTATTATTTGATTATTAGTGTCTGAAATTAATGTATATTTTTAATCGGGGCAGATATTATAAGATTCTTTCCTTCTTCTGCTACCTTTCATTTTATTTGATCTGTATTGTTTTGTTGTATTTAATGTGTTTTGTTTTTGTTTCTTGAATGAARTGAATAAAGTTAATAAGAATAAAAACATGGAGCTAATGGAGGAGGAGGTGAAGCCACCTGTAAAACCTGATTACCTGTCTCTGCTGTAGGAGTGAAAGTTGGTGTCCGGTCTCAGACAGGTGGTGCTGGCGCTCCTCACCCGGTCCAACGAAGGCTGCAGGTCGCTGCGGCGCCACAAAGAAGCGGTGGGAGGTGGGTCGTATCGATGAGGACGTAGCGATGAGAGCGGAGACAAAACAAGACAAAAAAATAAAAATAAAAACATGAGAACAAAGAGAACGTTGGAGCGAACAGGAAGTCACGGCTCTGAGACACGAGGATGGGAGGCAGGTGGGTCGCCTTTGGAACCAGGTCTCAGGGAGGGGATGGTTTATACTGTATCTCCTGACTCAGATTTGGGTCGCACAGGAAGTGAGGAAGCGGCTCAGACTCGGTGGGGGGGACGATGGGGATGGCGGTGCGATCTTACCTAACGGCGACCTCGTCAGTGAACCTAAGCACACGGTGCGACAGGATGCTGCAGGGCAAGGTGCCGCCTGCCGTCATCCTGTGGGGAGGCTTGCCTTTTAGACAGGCGGGGAGGGTGGAGCTGTGTGCCGCAGGCCCCGCCCACACACAGCAGGCGAATGGGGGGAGACAACCGCATGCAAACGAAGGCAAAGAAAGAAAAAACAAATGACTCGTGCAAGAGACAAAAAACAGCAGCTGAATGCAAAACAAGGAGGATAATGTAAAATAAAAAAAACACATATAACACATCACAACATGACAATTTAGGGTTTTAGCTCAGATAAAAGGAAAAATTATTTAACAAAAAGGCTAAATGAAATTAAGGTCAAAGAAACTCCAAAGCATGCATGGATGGATGGATGGATGGATGGATGGATGGATGGATGGATGGATGGAAGGATGGATGATGGA